TACGCGATGCATACATGTATAGTATACATTGTATACGGGGTAGTGCTCTGCACGGTCCGTTATTTTCAGGACCAAACCGGACTTCAAATTTTACCAGGGGACCGAAGTCGGACCGGACCACACTTAAACGTTAATCAAAGGCCAAATATTGGACCAAACCGACGGCTTCATGTTATTTTTAGACCGGACCGGACCAGTAATTAAATAACATTTAATAAAGTAGACCGTGAACCGGACTGTCGGTTTGATCTTAAAACATTTTCAACCGGTCCGTGAGATTCAGTCTGTATTAGCCCAGACCGTACCATATGATGCGTTTAGTATTACACTGGACCGGACTACCCGACTTTGTAGATAAATATTTACCTAAAGTTGTAGGTTATTTATCGTTTTATTTGTTCACATAACAATATCTGTATTTAGATTTTAAGTATCATGATTGGGATCGGACTGAAAATAATGCGTTTGATCTAAGGACTGGACCAAACCGACGATTTAATAGTTTTTGTATGTTAGGACTGTACTACACCGGACCGGACTGATTAAGATCGGACTATGCAGAGCACTAGTATACGGTATAATTTGTTAAACAAACGCAAATACTTAATATTTTTGATGGCACATGAATGTTTTTAAAAGTTCCAACTATCAAATCCGGGCATTAGAATCGGAAAAGGTTCACTGCCCCGGATATATGATGCATCATGTTCCGTGCGTATAAATTAATATATTACGCACATGTAGTGGTATTGTACTCAACAAATTGCCATGGCATAAAACCAGGGATAGAAAACGTTTACGTTTTTTGTTTATTGATTAAAATATCGTTTTTTTTAACGGTTTTAAAAACGTTATTTTTCTTTAATGTTTCCAAATAACGTTTTTGATCATTTTTTTTTTATATATATTCTTATTTCTTATACCTAACTTATAATAGTTATAATAAATATTCAATATACTGAATTAAGGAATGCACTTAAGTTATAATTATTTATTCTTAATATTAAAAATTTAAATTTCAAATCAAAATTATAATTTATATTTTTTATAAAAATAATAAAATTCAAAATTTTAAATTAAAACGTTTTTTTTTTTTTTAAAGTGTATTGGTAAAGAATAAATACTAAAGGGTCGGTAAAGACGTAAAGTAAAACACTCAGATTTCTATAAAGTCGTGTTATTGTTACAATTAACTATAATAGCAAATTGGATAATGAGTAGGCAGGGCCTCTACACACGATTTCGGGGCCCCACACTAAATGGTTGTCCGAGCCTTTTATAAAACTTCCAAAAATACAATTTACTATTTATATATAAATATAACAATTTTAGGAATAACATTTGTTTTTTCATTATACCAATTCAAATTTAAAATTCATAAGTATTTCAACATTTTTACTTCGTTTGTCTATTTTATTTTTTTATTACAATATTATTTAAATTAAAAAAGAAAAAACAAGTATATTTTAATTTATATTTAATATATTTTTTTTAAGTTAAAATTTTATTTTGCGGGCTTTGAGCTCAGCGAACTCGGTAATGATATCGTCAAAATTGAATTTCGAAGCCAATTCATTCATTTCTAGGTAATCATTGGTTAATACCCATTTTGAACTATCAAAATAACTATATATGTATAAAATATTAATTTATAATATTATTTAATGTAAAATAAGTATTTCTACTAAAATTTCAAAAATTAAAAATAAATTTCAACGGGCCCACGGGCCCTGAAAATAGCAGGCCCCTGTACTCAAAGTCCATCAGCCCCCCTTGTGGGGGCCCTGTGAGTAGATATAATAAATTATAAAACAAAATCAATTCCTAATGCAACTGCTAAAATCAATTGATAATAATCAGTGGCGTATTAGAGGACAGGCTAAAAGGCTTATAGCCTAGGGCGACTTTTTTGGAAGGGCGGTTTTTTTTTTATAGAATTAAGGGTTATTATTAACTTATTAGGTATATTTATTTTAATATATTTTTTTTATATTTATCATATGAACACAAATAAAAAAATTTTAAAAAGTTATAATAATATATTAATATGTACATTGTATGATGCATACTTATAGGCTATAATAAGAATATTACAATTATTATTACAATTTGAAAATATTTCATTTGTAATAAAATAATACAGATAGTTACTAGTTATTACTTATTAATAACTTATTAGTACAGTGGAGCGTCGATTATCCGCATGTCAATTATCCGCACTACAAAATGTTTGAGTACAAATTTATTTTTAGTTTAATTTAATTTAGTTTTATCATTCGTTATGTTATATCGTGTACTATATTGTTATATTATATATAAATATATATATATATATATATATATATATATATATATATATATATATATATATGTAATTTTTTATATTTTGTATGAATATTATATTTAGTATTATATCTAGTAAATTACTTTTTAACTTATATTACAATTTTCAATGGTTGTTTGATTATCCGCACAAATCGATTATTCGCACCCCCTTCGGTCCCAATTAGTACGGATAATCGACGCTCCACTGTACTTATGTACTTATTGGGAACATCCGACTATCCGAGTATAGGTATTTTCATATCTGGCTATTTATATTTCCGTTATGTAACTATATAAGTATTGTTTATTTGTACTGGTAATAATGGTATCTGAAGTAAAATAATAGACATGAAATATTATATTTTTAGAAGTTTTCTGTTTTAAATATTTAATATTAAATATTTTTTTTTTTTTAATAAAAAAAACTGAATAAAATATGAAGAGAAGGGTTTAGACCAAATATTGTTGGTTCCTTAGTAGAGTGATAAGGGGGGGGGGGGCAGAATGATTAAGCCTAGGAGCGCCAAAACGCTAAATCCGCCACTGATAATAATATAATCATATTATAATAATTGAAGCAGCAACCATGTTATAGATTATTACACTACGATCCATGACCGCCATCGTGAAAAATAATAGAATTTTACCGTCGCAATGTGTATATGACATGTGGACTATAATTAATTATTGTGCTATGCTATTAATATATTTTATTTGTCAACAATTACCTATTAGTAATCAGAATTATTAACTTTTTGATAACAGGTATATATATTTTTTTTCGTAATAAATTATAATAATATAATACTACAATTTATTTTCGTTTTTGATTTCGTTATAATATTTTATTTTTTTTTTTTCGTTTTATTAATTGATTGATTTTGTTATTATATTTTTTTCGTTTTCATTTTTCATTTTTTTTTCGCTTAATAACGTTTTATTATAAACGTTTTCAAAAACGTTTTCCATCCCTGATTAAAACTATGTTATTCGTCGTGTACTGTTCGACCTTTCCATCGTACTGTCGTGTACGACGTCGTCGATATACAAGCAGTCGAGAAAAAATGGGCTGCACTTCTACTAGGTACTTGTCCTGCCAATGATTCCCCATTTTTTTTTTTTTTTGTTATACGTTTCACACCACCGGGATTATGCTGTTAATACTTTATTATGTTTTAAACGCGGTCCCGTGTAGAATCGTGTCGTGATTGCTCTTGACCAACCTCCTTCAAAACAATTTACCGGATCGCACAACGCGTATACGGAGAACATAGAACATGTTAATGAAACCAAACTAACCTTTATATTTTTATTTTATTTTAAATTTGTTAATTTTTTACGAAAAAAAATTATTCCCGGGTTTACAACATTTGCATTTTGAAAGTAATTTACTTTACCTGGAACTTTGCCCCGAACCTTTATGGTGATACTTATCGATTCGTACACATATTATATTATCCAGACCCCCGGACCCATCATTATTTGCTCGAACGTAATAATTAATTATTCTTTCATTACCATAATCGTATATTTTATCATTCATGCACGGATAATACAATAGATAATAACTTTTATTTTTGGTTTAAAAATATTTTAAGCTGACAAGGTATTATTAATGTATTACATCTTTTGGACCTTTATACGATTTTATTATAACTTTTATAATTCAATTTTCAAACGTTTTCCGCCATTACAATAATTACCGGCGCGAACCGATTTAGAGACATTGACTCTAGTATTCTATGTATTTTTGGTTTAATCATGATCGAAATAACTTATATATGTTCTATGACTTGTCCATCGATACTACTATAATCATATGCAACACAGAACGAAGGTATAAAATTCATGATGCAAATCACACGGAAACCGATTAGATTACATATCACAATACAAATGATCATTGGTGTGAACGTAAATTTAACCATTTCTGAATCAACCCACGAGAAACTAAACATATAATATGAGCTAGCCATTCTGTTAAAACTATATCAAATGGTTTCAGTGGACATGTAGAATTTATAGGTTTTAAGGTGATGTGTGTTTTCTTTTCTACCGGAAAACATTTTTTCGAATCGTGAAAACATTCAACGATTTCTACTTGAAATCCATCTGTATGTACATGTATTTTTGTTGAACAAATATTGTACTTTGGCATTGTAATTTTTAGAGATTCGGGAGATACTAGAAATACAGCGAAAGACTGTAAGCGATAGTTTTGATTTTTATTCCAGCAACGTTTTGAACAGTTTTGAACTAACCTGTGGTAAAACTCAAAATTATTGTCTTTGACGAAAAATCCAATTGAACATAATAATACATCGCTGCAGATGTACTGACATCACAAAGTAGTCGGAACTGTCTTGTATAATAGAGTGTAAATAATATGTGCATATCACGGCCCGTAAAGGGTTTTAATGTGCGCAATTCGATTGTGATCATTGAAATTTCCAACGAAATGATTTAATGCTTCTACGTACATATTGGTTCTATCGTTATTGATTTTCCACCCTCCTTTTCCGGTTTGGCAGTACCCGGATGGCTCATGGGTAGGTTATGTATTGTTCATGAGGTGGACTTCGAGAAACGAGAAAAACCATGAGACGTACATAGTAAAAAATTTAAAAAAAAAAAAAAAACCATTTCTAATAAAACACCTATGGTTTTCTTTCAAGTATGCGCAGGTGTTGTTGCTGTGCGCGCGCGGAGCCGAACCGTTGATCGTGTACTCCCGACCACCGCGAAACGACACGGCGATGGCCACGGCCGCGAACGCGTCGTCGGAGGAGGAGTCATCGAAGGCGGACGACGACGAGACCATGGGCACGACGGCCACGGCCGCGGACGAGATGACCGGCCGCCGGTACGCGGACAGCAGCAAGAGCATGTCGTCGAAGGCCAACTACTACGGGGTGCAGTTCTACTCGCCGCCCGTCATACACGGCGCGGCCGTCGACATGTTCGGCCGGCAGCTGCACCACCAGCACCAGCGTCACCACCACCATCAGCAGTACGCGCACCGCCAGCCGGCGGCCGCGTACCATCAGCTGCGCCATCACGGGCGGCCGGCGGCGTGGGGCGAGCCGACGGCCGCGTTGATGCAGGACGGCGTGGCCGGCGGCGGTGGCGCGGCCGGTCCGTTACTGATGAATCCGCTGATGGCCGCGTACGAGGACCCGTCAACCGCGCGGTACGCGCCGCTCAAGCAGAGGCAACAGCGGCCGCAGCCGGTGGCCAGGCTGATCAAGTACACGGAACCGCCGCCCGTGACGTACCACCAGTTGCCGTTCATAGCGGCCGAGACCAGCGACCGGACGCTGCTGGACAACCTGCCCGCGCTCCAGTTCGCGCTGCAGCACGCGGCCACGGGTAAGCCGCCACCGCCGCCCACCGCACCGGTCGCGACCGCCGCGCACCAGCAATACGCGCTGCAACAGCACCAGGTGGTCAAGCAGCCGCAGTCGGTCGCGACCGCCGGCGGCGCGGCCGCGCTTCACCAGCTCTACCAGCCGCCGCAACCCCCGCCGCCCCATCACCACCAGCACCAGAGGCTGTCGCACCAACCCATGCCGTTGCCGTCGCATCCCCACCGCCTGCTGCACCACGCTCCGCCGCCGCACCAACGTCACCGGTATGCGGCTTACGGTGGCGGCAGCGGCGGCGGCACGCAAGTGCCGCGGTACACCCAAGTGCCGTTCCTGTACAACCTGCCGCCACCACCGGCTCAACGACCGTACGCCCCGTCCGAGTACGACCTGGTCACCCGATTCAACCGATTGCTCAAGGAACGCGAGCGGGACGACCGGCTAGACGACGGGACAGCCGTGGACGACGACGACGACGAGGAAACGACCACGCGGCCAGCGAAGAAGGCCAAGAGGAAGAAGAAGAAGAAGAAGAAGAAGCGGCCGTCCACCACTCCGGTGCCGCCGGCGCCCGTCGAGGAGGACCCGGAAGAGGAGGACGACAGGGACAAGCATCAGCAACGAAAGCAGCACCAGCAACAGGACGACGAGCGGATCGAGGACGAGCAGCCCGTATCCGAGGAACAAGAGTCGCAGAACGTGCACACCAGCGAAAAGGTATATACGTTGTATTTATCAATTATTAGGACATAATATCTAGGCTGCGTCATCAATATAAAATTACAAACTAGTTTTGTTCGCGTCTGCGAATATATACTTATCGACCTTCCTTAAAAACATTTTTTTTTTTCGAGTTGAAAAGACCCAATTTTCTATAGTTTCTACAATAATTTTATTTCTCAGAAAGATTTTAAAAATCAATTTGTACAACTATCGGATATTATATATTAAAAATATACCAGTTTATTCATAATTACCTAATAATATATATATATATATTTTTGTTCTACTTATAAAAACGTTGACTCGGGTGGTTTATTTTCATCACAAATCGTATACGTTTTTTCTAGATGAAACTTTTGGGTTTGTTTTAGTACGTCTGTGTACGTATCAAATAAACATATTCCGAGCCCAAAGAACTTTTACATTTACTGACCTCCAATTATAATGAATCATAACTTATGACCGTTGTCCGAATGTTTTTTCAGCTACCCGAAGGCACCGTCGTTCACGAGACCGAGGCCGATTCGCCAAATGAAGTAGACGGACCGGTAAGATTATTTTATGCACCGTACCGGGAGTGAACTTGTAGTTTGAAGTACTCAATGGTCTCTGTTGTACCATAGGTTACAACAGAGTCGTCTTCAGGGGAGGGGAATGGTGTGGTCCTATCCCGTGACCTCCATTTTCTTCAAATGTTTGTTATTTATTATTTATATCACATTAAGAATATGAATACATGTATAAAGTTCTCCCCCACTGTAAAAAGGTTTAAGGACGCCACTGGGATACATTTGTTATTATATCCGTTATCGAATTTGCGGTTTCTGATCATCTAATGTGTTACATAAATATAATATTATAAAACGCATAGCGTTTACGAAATGTGTGGAATACTTTCTATTGTTTTAACTTTTAAATAATTATAAGTGTTATGAATAACCTCATCGTTTAGCAAAATCTGTAGCACCTGTAAATTTAAATATTGTAAAATACGTGAATTAATAATAATATGAAATACATTTGAAAAAAAAATAAAAATACGTATACATGTTAGAACATTTCCAAATGTTTTATTACTTTAAATTGTGTAATCATTATTTTCATATACTATGTATTTATTCATAAGTTGCTAAAAATTCTTATTCAAATTATTTTCTACACTTCATCAAAAGATGCTTATATTTTAAATATATTAAAATATGAGGCTTTGATGGATTAAACCTTTAAATTATAATAACATACAATGGTTATGATAATTTTTCTTTTATTATTTAACTACAATAGTATTACTGAAATTTTATACTTACTGAATATGAAGTACCAAGTATCAAGTGCTAAAAATCTGTATGATGGAATACTCAAACGTACAAACGCTACACATACATGTCTAAATGACGTTGGCCATAACTTACCGTAATTATTTCTGAACAATAGCCAAAATATAATAAGGTTTTGTTTGAATGGGTATCGTGGACACTTGTAATTCACGTTTCGCCCTACTTCAGTTTTGCGTATCTGACAAAATTAAAATTACACGACCCATACTGATCGTAATAAATTACACTGGTAACGAAAACGTTGCATTTCTTCAGCCGTAGATTGTTTTTTTTCATTCCTCGTTTCTTCTTCCGTTTCCATATACGTCCGTGGGTCTCACGGGCATTGCCAAACACGAGTACGGCACTCGGAAGCGTAGCGTTCATAGAACGTGTTTCGTTTCAATGCGGTACATCGATTATCGGTGCGACACGCGTCGAACAAAATAAATATTACACACGAACCACCCTCTCTATAATAAGCATCCCTTGACGACCATACACTGTCTTAAATCCCTACACTCCGATTTAAAACTCAACGCATTTCGTTTATTAACTATGCGGACTAAGAACGGCACTTTAGCTATGCATAATTTGTTTGTTAAACATGATGATGTTTGGATTTTTTCAAGGGTTGCGAGATTATGATTTCTCGGTATAAACGCAAATCCGCTAAATTAGCCATTGCCAAACGAAACTGTTCTTTGTCGATGGTTTTCAGAGAAAATCGTTTTCAAAATTATATTTTAAATAGCAGTTCAAAATTAATCAATTTTCGAATAAACTAAAAGAAACACGTGTCCCAGTGGTATGATTTCGTGAAAAGTTTGTGATTAATGTTAATTTTACCTGATTTCGTTATACTTATGTATATATAATTTTTTTTTTATTTTTTTGTTTCACGCGCCATTTAGGCCCTTCGCAGCTTCTATATCAGCTTCTTCGTAGCTAATATATATATTATGATACATGAATTCCAATATAGAATTAATCCAAATATTGTTTTGATTTTTCAATATTTTTAAGTCTTGACTTGATTTATATCAAAATTAATAGTACGGTTATTTTAAAAATATACTGCAAGAATAAATTTATGAATTTTTTATTTAGTTTTAAAATGTCCATGCTTGTTTTATTGATATAAATTGTATTAAAACCATACGTTTAAGTCTATATACTTCTGCGTTATGAAATCATGTTTATGGATTTTTAACATGCTCAACAATACATCAGACCCGAACGTTTTTAAACAATTTTTGTGTATCTACACTACAATCTGTACGGTGAATTTTAAACTTTTCTCTTTCGTTACGTTAGTCGGTTCAAATTTCAAGCTCGTCATTAAACCGTCGTATGGAAGCGAAACGATGGTTCCATCTGCAGCTAGTAAAAAATATCAGAGAGCAATACCTCCTTAGCAATTTTTTTTTTTTCTTAATCGTCGCCCCATCGCGTCACCAATATCCAGATAAACTCGGGTTTTGATGTTCTATAATAATATACAAGCCTTAATAAACAACATAGTGTCTCACGAAGCTAATTATAAAAAAATAATTGACATTTTTCTATTTTCTGATTAACTCTCATCGTCGCGTGCAACTTGTTCAGTCGACCGACGATCAATCGTGTATTCTGTATTTTCTCTTAGATTTGGCTTTTTTAACGTATTTTCCGATTTATAACTAGACACATCATTTTTCTTTATGATAATTCGGGTGAAACACTTGTAGTGCGTGCAACGACGTCTGTACGGACGATCTGATGTTACGGTGTGCACATTCTAATTTATTGTTTAATTTACGCTCTGACTGCAGAGTGGTACACCCGTCGTCGTTCAAATAAACAAACCGTAGTCGCACATAGACCGTGTTATTTGATGATCGTACACATAATATTTTATCATGGTATCGCACTGAATCATAACAGTATTATTGCACAGCCATTTTGCACGTGTATAAAGACCGAAATGGAATCATTCCCCGTTCCGTAGGGTTCGGCGAAGGACTATATTTTTAAGTGCTACATTTGAAGCACTCAATCGATTTTTAATGTATTGAACGCCATCTCTGTGGCTCAAGACAACATTTGATTTTTCGTCCGTGAAATTATAACACTAGGATCGTTGTACAATATACATTGTACAGCAGATATATGCTAACAATTATTTACTATTTATATGATTTTAGTTATTCACGGAATTCAATATCTTAGCATATCGTTAAAATTTTCTTCGAGGAACTCGCTCAACTATTTTTATCCTTCGTATTTTGAAATTATTCTTCAAAATATTCATAATCGATATAAGGAATTACACTTTGTCTAACTTTTAAGGTAGACTTTTATAACAAGTACAATACATTTTGCGGTTACCCAAAATTGTTTTGGGACAGCGTGCAGAGGATAGAATTCACCTATCTTAAGCTTGGGTTTGCTCTTGAAATAAATTGAGACTAAGGCATCGCATGTGCCACAGTATGCGGTTAATAATGTGCGTTTACAATTTAATATAATGTATTTCAAATCTCGATCCGTGTGCAATATTTCAGTCTCAACTCAGCGAACAATTCGGTGGTGATTTGACCTTCGACGAAGCCGGCGGAGAGAGGGTTGAGTTCCAACTGCACGGCTTAGGCGGTCCCGATTCGTATAAATTCGGATTCGACACCGGTAAAGGGTAAGTAATAAAATTATTTGATAGCATTTCGCTGCGATAAAACCGTTTTTCATCTCATACTTGCCTCGTACGGGATGAAATCTAAGATTATGAACGCGTTTGGAAAATCATTAAAAACGATTCGCCCGAGCTCTCGAAAATACTTCAACTAAGTATATCCGTTCTGGCGTCGTGTCGCCGACGTGAAATCATTCATCGGTATAAGATCCGCTGTATATATAAATGTATGTACGGCAGAACTACGAGCGACCGGTCGTGGTCAATACCAGACATCGTTCCCTCGCCCCTTGAACAGTGCCTATTAGTAAATCGACTACGTATCGCGTTCGTACTCGATTGGTGTATTATTCGTTCAAAATTTTTTATTTATTTATTTTTTTTTTCTGCCAACATTAATTTTCCGTGAAGACGCGCGCGCGTCGCGACCGCGAAAAACTCTTCTATCGACAGCCGCCGGTCCCGGTAACATCAATCATATCGAAAACGTTCGTTTTCACCGGAATAGTTTAGCGGGTGTAGGTACACGTTATAATAATGCACCGTGTGCACAATACCTGCGCGACGCGTACAATGCACGTCTGATCGCGTCTCGCCCTCACATCGCCTATCGCATTGTTCGCGGCGATCATCAATTACACTCGCGTTATTATTATTACGCAACGCGACGCAGACGGAGAGATGATGATTACAATAATAACAACGCGCGGCGAACTCGCTAGTAATAATATTAATTATTATAATTACGACGGAATGTATTAAATGTGTATGTGTGCGTGTGATATTATCGTAACAGGACGAACAGGCAGTTCAGATACGAGGAAAGGGACTCCAGTGGAAACGTCCACGGCCATTACGGGTACCTAGACAACGACGGGAAAATGCAAGTGTACAACTACGGTTCGCATCCGGAACTCGGTTTTCACTCGGAAAAGGCCGAAACCCCCGAGGCGTGAATAAAACATATTACACGCGTACATATGGACCGCGTATTGTTCGATGCAATACAATATCCGAAGTGTAACACGTCATAATGTAAAATATCGTACAGCGAGAGCTTAAAGAGCGAATCGTATGCATGTCTTGGTCGATCCAAAGACAATCGTAATATACCCGTGTAATTATTATTATAATTATTATTATTATTATTATTATTATTAATTATTAATATTATTGTAAATACGATATCATATATATATATATATATATATATATACGAGTACATATAAATATATAATAGATTGATAATAAACGAGATTCGTAATAGAAACGTCAGCTTTGTGTACCCGAAATGTTTACAATATCTCCGCGAACATTCCAATACATTTCAAACCACGTTCGATTGCACACCTTAAACGGTATACATCGAACCGCGTAGTACGCGACCCATTCGAATTAAGTGCTTTTTCTCTTACCACCGTATTTCCGGCGTGATCGTGTACCAAATTACGCGCTGGACAACGATTGACAGGACTTCGAGGAGACGTGTTTCACTCGCACCTGTATGTCGCGTACCGGACGTAGAAAGATCACCATACGGCTTTGGGAATACAGGTACAAAAGAAGAAAACCAACATTACACCTGACGATGAGTGTATCGCTGACACGTAATAGGTTCTTAAAAATATACGAGTAACATAATTTTTTTAAGCTTGCTGCGTAAACTTGAACCGCGTGCTCTTCGATCTCAAAAAACAACAACAATTGATTTCACCCAAAAAGTACCATCACTTCACGACAGTTTTACATGAATTCTACTTGCATAATATACACTGTTGCGTGCAACGTGAATAACGCGATAATAATAGTAAATAATAATACAATGTATACACAAAAGGGATGTCAAACAATAGGATACGCATGCCGCTGACGTAGTCCTCTGAAAAGGTCCCCCGAACACATCTTATTACTCAGCGCATCTCGGAAACGTTGACGGCCCTGAATTAATTCCACAGATAATATCATACGGTATCTAGACAACAATAACCGATATTCAGTGCACATCAAAATATATAATCTCAATAACCGTTGCACTGTGTGTGTATGTAAGTGGATGTTGATATATCTGAAATTAGAGAACTAATTTTTTTAATTTTCCAACTTAATCTGAGGTCACTCCACCACAAATATACCTGTTTCAATGAAACACATTAATCTCTCCATAGGCGCCACCGAGATTCAAAAACTACTGGGCCAGTTTTTATGTATATTTTAGCAAAACGATATGCGTTGTTCGGAAAAGGTTTATATCCACTGAGAGCCTTCGATAGCCCTACTACTTACCCTATCCCGGTCAAAAAAAATCAAGGCTTAGGTATTTTTTAAACCTTATTAACACGGATAAAAATAAATTATCCGTACCGTTATTACAGTTATTTTATTGTTATGTATCAAGTTTTGTGAGGTTGTATTTTTTTTTTTTTTTTTTTTGGTACGAAACAAAAATCGGGAATGCGGTAACCATTTAAAAAAAATAATAGTAGTACCGTGGTAGTTGGTCAGTTAGTTAGTTAAAGGTAAATAAATATGCGTAAGTTATACGTTGAAACACAGCTATAGCAAAGGGTCAGCAGCTAGTATATATTACGTATTACAAACTCGATAAAATAGATTATATTATACCCGCAAAAGGACGGTTTCGAAACTTTCTACGTGTGACGTGTGCACGGTGCAGCACGCGCTGATATTCATCTGTCACGGCCATAGCATTACGGTTTACGGCGAAAACGTTTTGCATCGATGGACAAGTGAAGATGATGAACTCCGTGAATCAACAGACATTTTTTTGCGTCGTCGTCATCGCGCCCGTGGAGACGCATGACGCGAAGCAACTCTAAATCATACAACCTGCTGTTGCTGTGTATTGTATATTTTTTTTAAAATTATTATTTTCTTCTGCTGTGACGATTTCCAATACCGTTTATCCACCAATCCGCTGCCTCCGAACGGTATGATTGTCGCTTCTATACATTGAAATCACGGATCATTGCAAATCATTTTTCTATGTAAAGGTCGATGAACAAAAAAAGAACAAATAGAATAAATGAATCGGAATTTCAAAATGACCGTCTTAACAGTACTCGGTTCAGTGAAATTACCGCTGTCGTAAGATCGATTTCGACGGCAACGAAAACTCATACGCCACGTTAAAATGCATTTGTTTGACTACGAATCGATTTGCCGTTGGACAGTTTATACGGTTGCATTGTTATCTCCTGCACGTGCTCGATTCGGTCGGTCGAGGGACAAGACTGGCAACTGTCCGCGTTGGGGCCGTATGGATTGAACTGCCGCGGCGTAACGGCATTCGTCCTGGACCGTCGAGCGCGAAAACACGGAGTTCGCAGCGCCCACGGTCAAAGTACGCGGCACGGGAACAATACGATTTTTTGATCGTTCCTTCCGCCGCGTGGTCGTACTGACAATATAATATGGTAAATGGTAATATAGTATACAATATAACATACAATGTGGTAAATCGACCGGCGTGCGTGTCACCGTGCGAGCCACTACCGACCGGTGCAATGGTCCTTTACTCCCACCTCTAACGACGGGCGGTCGCGGAGTTTTGGGAAACGCGTGTGAACCCGATTCGGTCATTTGCCCGCCCCCCCCCCCCCCCCCCCCCCCCCCCCCCCCCCCCCCCGCTACCGCTGTTTTGTTAATTATTTTGCTTCTTTTTATTCATATTTTATATTTCAACGTTCCGATGCGCAGATCAACGGTTATTAGTAATAAATGTAATTTTTTTCGAGGACGGTTTTCCGCCGCGAGGGTATAAAACACGAGCGGTCGTCGACCAACGGCCGTATTCGCACACGGAAAAACACACGCGCATCATGTGGCCAGATTTTGCGCTTCGCAATCGCCATACGACGATCGTATCGATCATCACCGTCGCAATGCTGTTCAGCACCGCCGGAGAGGTCCATGTGAGTATGTTTGTTAACTATCGGAATCGTCTTAGTAAAACGCGTACAAACGTCTCGGACAACACCTGAAAGTCGGAATGACGACTAAAGATACAAATTCGAAATAAATACTGCGTTTCAAAATGCTCGATCGTCAGCTGAAGGCTAAAACTCATCTCCCTCCGACCGAGATACCCTTTTGCGCGCGAAAAAAAATAATTTTATGCAAATTCCAACCGCCCTAATTGTTACGATACATATGCATAGCGCGATATATAGGTGCTCAATGCATGCTTTAACATATGGATAAGACTTATCGCCACCCACTCCGTCCATCGGCGTATCCAACGGCGTAGGAAGACTCGCCAGCACCCCTGGAAAACTTGGATGAAAATTAATTTTAACCGATTAAAAATGTTATGTGATGATATTTTTTTTTTTGCCTTTAATTTTACTAATTTTTTAGAACCCAATGTATATTCTTAAGTTATTATTACAATATAGATTTTAAATTAGAAAATTTGCTGTTCTCGCTTTAAGACATGCGTATTCATCTATAATTTCTTCATATAAAGTTTTCTATGTGAATTATCTTGTACTATTTTCATAATTTCATCATTCAATCCACACGTATTCAATTAGACAAAATATACATATTTCAAAAAGTATAATGAAGAAATGTCGCTTTGAAGGGTAATATGAAAATAACCCTTTACTATTCGAGCCCCTGGCGTAAGGCACAGTTCGCCATACCCTAGCTACGTCACTCGGCGTATCCTCCGTGAAATTATTATTATTACTGTGTTTGACGAGGGTTTATCATCTATTTTTTTTCTATGGTTTTTATATTTTTTTTTTTACCAAACCTTTTCCAGGAACATTTTTCCCACTCTCTTTCTCTTTTCTCTCTTTCTTTCTATCTGAAGAATGATATTTTTCACACGTCGTTCTATACGCCAACGAAACGCGTCGCGGCCGTAATATTTCAATAGTTTTTATTTTGTTTTGTTTTGTTTTTTCGTATTAAAATAGACGATTTTACGCGCGAACATCGATAATAACCATCTTATAAACCCTTCTACGCATATTTACCGAGAACATACGTCGAAAATATAATCTGTGGTGCGCACCCTTGCAATATACATTGCATACGTGATCTACACCCTCATAAACATTAAATCGTTTAAAAAATAATTTCCACGAATCCCGAGTCAGTATACATCGTACACTATAATGGGTACACAAGCCTCGTCGGTACAGCCTCGTATGGAACGCGCTGAAACCCGTAAAATGTGCTGCATAAAGTTAATATCCGTGTATAGTATTTACATAAAAACAAAAAACTAAAAAAAAAAAAAATGTATTTATATATACATTTGTATGCGAACAAATACTTTTTTTCCCAACAAAACGATAGAGAATCTCAACAGATCAGTTGTTAGATTTTCGAGTTTTTCCGAATTAACAATGAACCGTTACTATATTATTTAAGGATAAAATTTCGCCAAGGACTTGTTTTTCACTGTTCCCGGAGAATAATATGGCTTTCATGCACACTATGCTGGTGTACCTACATAATACTTATATATATATAATAAGTATATTATACTTTTATGTACGTATACCAGCCAGATGCTAATTTTTTAATAACTTGGCTTTTTTTTTAATTAGAAATCGTAAAAAAAACGAACATCTTGTACTTTCAGTGATGTAATCCCCACATTCTACGAGTAATAATATAATAACTATTACGTAAATTCTCGTATACTCTACAGCAGTGGTTTCCAATTAGTGTGAAATCACCGACCCCTAGCTATAACTTAAATTATTTCGAGGACCCTTTTTTTTGTAAATACTTGCTTTTCAATTTTGTTTAATTAATGAAAAAATTAATGAAAAAAAACTATTTATTTTAATTTGACGATTACAATTATCGAGTTTCAATATTCCAAAATTATCTGGAATTTCAAACGACTACAAAGTTAAAAATGTCATTAAAATAAAATAAAAAAAACCATTACAGTAATACATAATCGTGATCTACACAAACCCTGGAGGTCCGCAGATTACCAATTAGGAACCACTACAGTAGAGTAGTACATGAACTCAAACACATATTATTATATTGATTATACACTAGTATTATATTGATCCTGAGCACTGAGACTGTTGAATATTGGATTGTACATCAATTTTTCTAATAAACTTTATTTCTACTTACTCTTTTTTGTATATCTATTTTTTTTAAGGCGGAGTTTTATAAGGGGTGGGTGATCAAAAAAATAAAAACCACACCTGAAGCAGAAATCTGCGCACGCCTATGGTAACTATATACCTTAGACACTATTCTTCTTTTGTCTTATACAATCATCAACGTTAGGGTATAATCGTCTGAAAATATTATCACTTCGTCTTACTCGGATTTTATCAGAACGATTTGCGAAACCTAATCGATAAATGATATGATTTTTTTTAACTTTAATATTCAAATGAAAATTAATCTTTACGCGTGTGGTGGTGAACAAAGAGGATTTTCGTGAAAAACTGAAAACGGTGTATCCGCATTTCCTCGATGGGACCGAAAACGGTACTGTACTATTATTGGTACGACAATGTTACAGGGATTGAAGTGCAGGACGACGGATCATTCGAACCGCCAAGGAGAGTTTATCGACTTGGCGGAACAGTGTAACAATATGACTTCGAAAGGCGGTGACCGGACGATGGGCAATGATTACTCTTCGTCGCAGTCCGGGGGCGGTGGAGTCGGAGGCGGCGACAGCAACAGAAGGGACACAAGCAGGAGAAACGATGAGGACAAGAGAAACGACGAGGGCAGGAGAAACGGTGAGGGAGGCAGGAGAAGTGGTGAGGTCCGCAGAAACAACAATCGGGAATTCAGCGTGACTCGACAGGACTTCAGCGGTAACGGCAACCGCGAGGAAAGTGGTAACAATAATTATAACCGCGGTGATGGCTACAACCGCGGTGATGTCTACAACCGCGGTGATGGCTACAACCGCGGTGTTGGCTACAATCGCGGTAGTGGCGGCGACCGCGGCTCTACGTCGTGTGACTTTCAGCCGCAACAGTATCCCGTAAGTGCGCGTATGCCTTTGATCGCACATAATTATAATTAAGTATTATTATAATCCGTTTGTCGTCCGATTTCGTTTTGGATGTTTTTTTTTTCACGCGACCGCTAAATCGTAATGTACCGAAACATAATTACGTCACTTCTCGCCGAACTTGAGCAATTAAAAATTGGATTCGTATTTTAACATTGGTAAACATATCTTATTGTATATACATGTGTGTGTGAAACGTACCGTGCAATTAAAAATATATGTATAGAGTGTGGCCTACAGAACGGTTTACAAACTGTACCCGCCAAACGCGAAACTACTACATATATTACAGAACTATGCAATTGTATTGAAAAAAAAATCATTCGACTGCGGTGTATTTGATCAGAATTTCATGGTAACCCGCGCTAGTGGTCGGGTGCTGATTCGGTTAACAAACGTTCGAACAAATCGATCCGACGAAAACACATATAGCTGGTGTTATGTATTTGGCGTTTTTTTTTTTTTTTTTTTGTGATCTATGTGACTATATTAGATTATTGTACACATTGGAGAGTAATGGAGAGTTAAGCCTAGTTAAGATAAGAATCAATGAAACTCGAGTAATCTACACTGACGGTGAAAAAGAGAAGAAATAATCGCCGTGTTTATCGAATCCCATTGTTGTAACGGGAAATGGACATTGGAAAAAAATACACATATTGATGAGCTTTATTTATATTCCTTACTTAGGCACAGGGAAATTACGGAGACCGACAGAACAACTATCGACAGGGAAGTCCATATTATCCGAGTGTAGATTACGACGCGAGACAATCGAATTCCAACTATAATCAATGGACGAGACGGAATCGTAGGCATGCCAATAAAAATAGTAACCGTCGCATAAAGGCGGCAACGAGCAGTAACAGACTTTTGGGAAACAATCGTTTCAGAAACGTGACAAAAAACGGAGTGGACCAGGGAAGAGGATCAATCCTCGACAAAATGGATGCCGTAAGTGGTATTGTTTATTATATTATTCGAAGGCTGTTTAATAAGAGTGTTTATAGAATATAGAAAATATTACGCGTCCTATGCGAGCTTGGATTAGAAAAGTAGTGGACACGTCCCCGTAGGGTTCAATATTTTATCATTCAAAAATGGTGAATAGCTGTACATAATTTGTTTAATATTTTTAACATTTTAAAATTACATTTATCTTTTTTACCTTATTCGGGATCATCTTTTTCGTACCCATTAATTTTTTAAACCAATTCCTCAATGAATATAAAAATGAGATAACATTTATTACCATAAAAATACCAAAGTTAAAATAATTAGTTTTTGATGTATTCGGAGTAATATAATTTATTATTATAATTATAACTATTATAATCAATCGTGTACATTCTCCTTGCTATAAGTATAAAAGCAATAGACATAGCCAGGGATCCACTAGTGAAAATAACTATTTATTTTCTACTGTTTTGAAGACTACTATTTTTCTTTCTAAGTTCACTTTTGTATATATATTCTATAGCTTTCTTGCATACCCTAAACATGAAGTCTGGCTACGCCTATGATATAAACTAATTATTAACTTCAAATTCATGTATATATATATATATATATAATTTAATTTTATTGAACTGCATAATCAGAAGAACGATAAAAATTATATTTATTGATCTAAAAGTTCTCTATTTTGAATGAAATTAGTCTTGAAATTTCTTATTTTTCCATTTAATTATAATATCACTGAACAATCCCATAATCAACATTAATAGTAACATTTTATGTTGAATTTAACGAAGGATTATTTATTAAGACTGTCCAATATGGAATTTAATAATAATAAATAATTTAATGTTCTATAAATAAAAATTTAAATTGTATAATTTAAAACTTTTAAGAGTAAAACAAAACTGAATATAATTTTTATTGAAGAGAACTCACGACTGAATTGTAACTCCTCACCATCTTTTAATTTAATTAATTTCGTCAAAAATAGAACTGAAACGAATAAATATTAATATAATAATCAATAATTTTTATATATTCGTTATCTTAGACAAAAATAAATAACATTTTTTCGAAAATTAAATAATTTATACTAATCGTATGAGTGATTGACCGCATTCATTCATGCGTTTTATTGCAGTTACAAGCTTTCACAATTTTACATTTGGCATTATTTATCAACTCAGTACAAGTTTGTTTATGAATTATAAATTCGTTCGTATACGCAAACTCAACTAAATTTGATTGTATCACAATTATTAATCCTCGAAATCATCACTATTATAATCGACCATCGTTCATTTTTTTTCAAATTAAAATAATTAATTTTTATTGAAAATAAAAAAATTCTATCCGCATTATAATAATAATACCGTTTTTAATAAATAGTGTTCATCAATTGGATTTATGATTTGTTTTATATTTTGTATGTTTGTTTCTCTTTTCTTTTTTTTTTTTTTTTAACAAAAATGTATAAACAATAAAATCTATAATACAATAGTAAATATATAGGTGATTTTGTTATTTCATATCTTCCATCTATGTAGTAGATTTGTGCGTACACGAATATCGGCCATTTAGATAGTGCGATTTTGGTAATCATTTTTCGTTTTCGATCCACGGTACAAATATACATTTTGAATACCCATATAGTGCCTATATTACGCACAATAATATGCATCAGTTCTTTTCAGTTTGTCGAAATCGGCTTTTTTCCCTTTTTTAAGCATATATACCCTACTCAGCGCAATATTTATGTTCCGAATTTGACATAATAGTATAGCGAATGGATATATTATATGATTCTCTAGACATCACGTCGTTTCATATAAACCCATGTACACTGGCTGTATACCTAAGACGACGACTTTATATATCAATAAAAACTTCTCAAAAAAAAAAAAATATATATATACATGTATTTATTTATACGATAAGTACATCATGCGCATATATTATATGTGCAATATCATAATATTAGAATTTACAAATTGTTCATAATAATTGTTTAAAAATAATAAAATATTTTATTACCAATAATATTTTATTTTTTGATAGCCATTGCCCATTGACTAACATGTAAAATTTATACACAACATACGTACGACAAAAATTTAAGGTCGAATAATTTCTCGATAATTTAAATAATAAGCCTTTATGATGTATTTTCTGTCTTTTCACACTAGGCATTTTGAAACCATACTATATCACTACTAATTCAATAGTTATCCAAGACACATTATTATTATGTTTTGTAATATATTTTAACGTATAAAACTACCATACATAAACTATACTATATTAATAAATTATGAAATATATTATGAACATATCTAAAAGACCAGCATCTACATTTTTGTCTCGAACCATGCAATTAATAATAGAACTACAGATATTAATATGAAATATATATATATTTAATTTTTTATGATTCCATTATTAATTGGCTGTTGCTCTCGAAAATATTTGTTTTCTACTATGTGTTATGTCTACTAAATGTTTGCCTATTTTGAATTAATTTCCTATGTGTGTAATTTTCCAGTGCACAATTCACTGCGTATTCAATCAATTAGAAATGGTAAGTTAATAAATTTAACTATCGGTTATTTGTCTAAATTAAATTATAAATATATGTACCTACCCAAATATGTTCTGGTTGGTGTTAGTCTTGTTAGTGTTTATGATAGTATGATACATTGATATCTCGGCTCAAATAATATTATCATATAGAAATACAGATGTAGAAAAATATTATTTTCATATTGATAACATAATATATTGCTGTTTAAGGTCTCTCAACCATGACTCGTCGATTTTAATTATATTTAGATAGGAGGCATAATATGGTTTTTCATAATTTTTATATAGAATAGCAAGAATTTAAAAACTGAATTTTTTTTATGTAAAACGTAACATAAATTAATTTTGTCATTGATTATTTTTTTACAAAAGTACTCATTTACAAAAAAAAAAAAAGTAAAGAGAATAGCCGAAAAATCATTAACGTTTTTTTTTTTAACATCTGAATTCTATAGCGATAAAAAAAAACACTTAATTAATAAAATTATTGTTCGTTATATTATATTTTCAGCGTTTTATTAAAAATGTTTTTCGTCCTTATTTAGTGCTACTACATTCCCCATACATCCCATATATATACTATCTAGTGGTGAGTATTAAATTTAATTAAAATTCCAACTTAATATCATTAGTTTCATATATAACAGCTAATATTTCATTGTAATAATATTTAATACACAATATATACATTTATCAAAATGCTCACGTATAGCTGTACACTATTCAGTGGTATAATTTTCATTTTTTCAGCAAGTTTGAGTTCTTAGATAGACCAATATGTTTGCTTTTCATAATCCTAAATGGCTCTTGCTCTAATCGGTTTTTAGAAATACAATGATTCAGTTGAATATACTAACAAGCCAAACATTTGTTAAAAATTTAATAATATTAATACATATTAATATAGTTCAATAATTATTATAAATAGATACATGATCAATAGGTCAACTATAAACGGTGCACTGTCACATTGAAACACAAATTGAAAGACGAATTTTTAAAATTTTGAAATTAAGGATGGCGTTGAGACTTTTACCCTTCACTCCCCCAAAAAAATGACACTCGTGTAAGAAAAACATAAAGGGCTATTACATTTTTTTTAAACTTTTTGCTGATGGAGATAACTGCAAAAATTATACCTACTGATAAAACATTAAGTTAATTATTTTTGAAAATCCGACGATTATTAATATCCATTTAGCAGTAATTTATTTAGAAATTGTTTTATTCTGTTTGACAGCTGAACTCAAATTCTCGTCCAGACAAACCGTCAATAGTGAACATTATGACCAATCAAATAAAAGATGTCGAACTAAAAGAATTCTTGCAGGACTCTATTGATGAATGCTTTGACACTCTCGAACTCGGTAAATTCTAATTAATATGACATCACAGTAGCTGTTGAAAATTCAAATACTTTTTTTTACATCCTATTTATTGAAATTGACTTTATTTTTGTATAGACGTTCATAATAATAAATGTGAATTTTCTAAAAACTTTGCGATGTGTATGGAGAATAAAGCGCAAAGGGTAAATATACTGTAATAAATTATGGTTTATAATAGGCATTATGGTATAAAACAGTTGTAGGTATCTATTTATATTAATATATTACAGGGGTGGCCAAACGGTCGATCGCGGACGATTTCAGAGTCGATTATGTTAAAATTTATTTTTAGGCCACGTGCACGAAAATTAATCGTGGTGGTTATGAATAAACTGTCGATAAATTTTATCTGTATAGTTTTTATCTTTTATTCTGGTTTATAAAAAAATTTTCCAAGAAAGTTGATCTTCAAAGGTAAAGTATATTTTTAGTAGATCGTGGCTGAAAAAAGTTTGGCCGCCTCTGGTATATTGTATATCATTGAGTAGGTATATAATATGCATTTATTAAATAAAATAATGTCATTCTTATTATTTTTCTATCTCAGAACTGCGACGACTGGGATGAAAGCGCCTCTTCGAGCAGATTCAATTCCGCCCAAGACGGAAACAACCAACAAGACAAAAAAAAAGGATATTGAAAAAGTTTCTGCAATCTTAATGCGATTGATTAAATTATTTAAACTATTTATTTATTAAACATTTATGTCTACAAGATTGCTTTGATTTAATAAAGCGATTTTCCTTCAGATGGACGCTCAACTTTTAGAAGCTTCACACTCTATTACACACCAAATATAATCAATGTTGCGCAAAGATAACTAAACATTTATCTAGATAATAATAAAAGATAGTTCAAATTTAAATTATCTAGATAAAGACTATTTATCTGAATAAAAAAAAAGACATTTTTTTTAAATTTATTAATTTATTTATACTTTTTTTTATTCATTTATACTTAAAAAAATTAAATTAAATTTTAATTAATATAACTTTGATTTAATAAGTCCTTCCAATATAAATAATGAAAAAAAAATATTTATATTATGTACATTCATGTATGGGAAATAAGTAATAAACAATAAGTACCTATTTAATTTTAAAAGAATTACATTATTTGTAGGAATATTATAATTTTATACAACAATTCATTACAATTTATATAATACTAAATTATGGAGTAATATTTATGGTTAAAATATAAAAAGTTAATTTAATCTGTGACATAATTATCTTTCTTGAGAATCAAATAGTGTAAAAGTTACTAGAAAGTACAAATTTAATTGTCTTTATTACATACCTATGTAAACAATTCTTAAAAATAATACTTATAGGCACAATTTAAATAATATAACTAAATATATATTACAGTAACACAACTTTTAAAATAATAGTAATTAATTATATAGTTAATAAATCAATAATATTTAAAATATTTCATTAATTTTAAATTTTTATTAGTTTTTAACTTTCAAGTTTCATTTTTCGAACTTTTTTAATAAACATACTCTTATTTATCTAGATAAATTATGATATATAACTCAAGAATTCATCTAAGATAATTCATCTAGATAATGCTCAATACTGAATATAATAATTAAACATTTTCAAGTACCTAGGTCATTTCTACATTATTGCCGTAAAGCGAAAATTATATAATTTTAAACAGAATCTTTTCGAGGAATGATAACCCACTTTACACGAATATATTTTCTACTTTATACCCATTGTTCTTAGAAAATTGGTCTATAGGTGTATAAATAATTAACGAAGATAACTTTATCAAATTATTTTTATATAATTATTTTTTTATAATTATTATAGTTGTATTAGAATGTAGACGAAAATTCCTTCAGAATCGTCGACATTAAAATTTCTCGATCAACTCGGGGTTGTCAAAAAGTTATGATATTATAATATTATTGTTTTATTTTAATTATTTATAAGAAAAAAAATAACGCAGACTACAGTATATCAAAGCAAAACCTTTCATTTTATTGCCACTCGTTTCAGATAACAATATAGATACTTACCTATTTAAAAGATAATCGGGCGTAATATATTCAAGACTGTCCAGGTCAAAGATTTGTTTTTAACTATTTAAATTAATCTAAGAAAAATTTAACTAATTTAAGTTAAAAATTAACCAATATATTTCTTTAACTTTGTTAAATTACAATTTAACCAAGCTAAATTAATTGAATTAAGATAAAAAAGATTTTACACTTTTTCATCGGTAACATTGATTAAATATACATATATAAATGTATATTTAATCAATGTCGGTAATAAAACTAACATTTCTACAAATCATATAATATGGATATTTTTATTAGTTTGGAGTTATGACCATATTTAGAAAACAGAGCGTTAAAGATCTGACCAACTTTGCCACCACTCATTAAAAGGGAAACTAGAGTTGAAAATATCTGTACTTTCTTAACCATTAAAAAATTAAATAGATATACATGTTAAATCGGTGTATTTTTATAAATATAAGTAGTATTATAATATTAATATTTTAGGTACTTCAATATATATATATATATATATATTTACTGGAAGCCATACTGAAAATTAATGTTCCAACCTTTAATTCTAGAAACTATGATCTATTTTATCTAAGTCATCACACTCAAAACTACAGTTATTATGGACCTATCAATAGAATGTTAATGAATTGTAATGAAGTGAAAAATTTTGATTTTTTTCTTTGATAATATGTATAAATTAAAAAAATTACTGTTGTTATAATTAGTAGATTGTAAACTTTAACATTTGTAAACTTGGTACTTGTAAAACTCTGTACTATTGCCTTCTGGGCGTTAAAATATAAATATAACATTGACAATAAAAACATATAATATGGTATACCTATTTCATATATATCAGTGGGGCACACAGGATTTTTTTTCGGGAAGGTCAAGGTAAAAATATAACACATTTTACAATTAACAAAATTATGCAAATCCTTTATATATTTTGACTTAAATAATAGCATTTATAACAGAATAGACTATTCTATAATCAATGATACTAGGTATTCAAAACTAGCTCTTCATTTTTCAAACTTGTAAAATTTGTTAATTTAACCTAGACATCGGAGAAAATTTCGAGGAGTGGGGGGGTTATAACCCCTTAACCCCCTTCTGCGTGCGCCACTGATATATATTCATAGTAAGTCTATTTTTTTTTATAAACAATTTTCATTAAATACATACAAAATTAAAGTAAATATCCTAACTATTCTCATTTCAATAATTTTATCAACTAATATTATACAAACTATTGTACTTATTTTTGTTACACAACAATCTTAATAGGTATTTTTTGATTATGGTTACAATTTATTGTATAAACTATATTAAATTACAAACTTATTGTTCTTATTGTCAACCTACATTGAAATATATTATTTTTTAACTATACCTTATTTATAAATTTATATATATTATAATTATATAATCAACTTGTACAAATGTAACAAATGTACAACCATATTCCATCCTAAATTAACTCTTATGATCATATTTCATTTTTGAATATCTAAAACTGAAATATGTTACTATAATATTGATACTCATTATATTTTACCAAACTATATAATTAAAAAACTCTTTCAGTTAAAATAATTGGCTATTTACTAATTTTAAGTAATCAAATACTAAATATTTTAAATAAATACTGTATCCAAAGAAATATTACTAATATGGAGGTAGCAACCATGAATAATATATATTAAAATCCCCAAGCATTAAATAGTTACATAAGTCTTTATTTTATTTAAAATTGAATATTAAATTTTTATACCACATATCAATACTCTTTAAATAAAATTATTTTTTTTTTTTTTTTTAAGTAGGGCACAGTATAATTATATGATCCCTTTAAGAATCTATGAGAATTCAAATGTGTTATTAAATTATTAGATTTCTTTAACTGGTTATCTATTCATTTAAGAATTTAAAACAATCAAAGAATACATATTTATGTATAAGTAAAAAATTTATAATTAAGTACATTTAACAGGACATTTTAGGTTTTAATATCATTATAAATAATTTTTATTTATGTATATATATATATACACACACATACACACATATATAATCTAAATTTGTTCAAATCAAATAAAATATAGATTTATTATAATATATTAATTTATTAAAATATAGAATTTTAATTGGGTATCTAATTTGTTTTTTAAAAAATTTTGAAAACTGAAATGTGAAACTTTCTACACCTTTTTAACTATTATACTAATACATAAAATGTAAAAAAATAATTTTATTTTATAGACTTGATTTTAAATATTTTTACTATTATCATCACAATTATATTATCGATTTATTGAACATATAAAATATTCATTACATGGTTTCAAATTAAATTACAATTAATAGTTTCAACTGATTATTGATGAAATTTCTTCAAAACTATACTTAATCTTTTAACTACATCTTCTAGTAGACTGGAAGCACCAATGCGGAAAAGACTTGCCTGTAACCAATCATTTCCCAAAATGTTTTTTACTAACACTAGCCAACTAAGTGCTTGTTCATTGAATTTAATTCCTCCAGCTGCTTTTATGCCCACCTATTGAGAAAAATATTATTTAATAAACTGAAAAATTACTAAATTTGACTAAATATGATGATAAGCATATTATCTACCTTGTAACTTGTTTTTTCATGATAATGTTTGATAGCTTGACACATTACCATACCATGAAATAAAGTAGCATTCTTAGCTTCTTTTCCTGTGCACATAAGAAAATAAAATTATATCAAACATAAAAAAGAATAAATATTAACATGAATATATAACACATAATATCAAATAAGAACAATGAACCCATAAATAATATTAATACAGACGAATATAAAAGGATAGAAAATGTAGATCTAAAACAACTATGCAATACACCATGTGTGGTGAGTTGATGAAAAATTAATGAACACAATGGTGAAAAATGTATTCAGGAATAAGTAACAGGAAGGTTTTGAAAGTAACAGTTGGCTAGAGAAAACAGGATTCATTTAATGTTGTTAATGAAAAAAGATATCAAAACTATTAATGAATCAGCTAAATTAGAGAACCCCCTAGAAAAGGATAAATAAAAAAGATAAGTAGAAGTTGCTTGAAAGATAAAAAAAATTATTACATGATTCCTGTTGGCTTGTCAATGTTTCAAAAACTAAGTGTTATTGTAATAGAGTAATACATTGTACAAAGGTACATGTTATTGCATAATATGAATACACATATGTGTATTTATTTTATTATCAATTTATTCCTTGTACCTAAGCTAATATAACCAATATTTATTATAAATATAAATTCACAACCTTTTTTTAGCAGAAAATTAGTTGAATACGATTACACTTGCATTTTATTAAACATACCAGTAGATGTTTTAATAAAATCTGATCCAGCCATCATAGCTGTCATGGCTGCTTTATACACAGTCTGATTAGAGTCTAATTCAGAAACTGACAAAATTGTTTTAAGCGTAATATTTCCTTTAATGCATAGACTTTTTATTGCACGCAAATCATAATATAATTCTTCAAAATTGCCACTAATGGCTAGTCCACGATCAATGACAATGTCGATTTCTGCAGCTCCATGTGAAATAGCATACTCCACTTCAGTTATTCGACAACTCAATGGAACTTGGCCCATAGGAAAACCTCCAGCAACTAAAATGAAATATAAGTTTAAAAACAATATGAGAAAATGTTAATTATATGTGTACTCACCAGAAGCAATGTCTATGTGTTGTTTTAAAAATCTTAATCTCTGTACAACATCATAAATACGCACAGAAGATACACAAACTGTTTGTGGAGTTAATGTACTAGTTGTGAAGTAATTACGAAGTTCACAAGAATGAGTGTTCGCCATTTTTTCAATATCAGATTTTAACAGTTCTTTGGCATATAGAAAAGCCTAAAACAAATATATACAAGTTAATTATATATCTAATCAATAAAACCAGTACATTATAGTGGTATATTTCTATATTATTTAGATAAATAAAATTTTTCACCAAATTATAACTGATATTTGAAAATATTAATAATTTATGATTATTGCACATTGTCAAAACCACTGTATAGATTTATCTATTCTGTGTTAAAACTATTAAGTAATCAAATGTATTTAGTGTTGCTAACTAAATATAATTCAACTGTATTCATAATTATATAATCAATGTTGAAACTTACAAATAGTTATTAAAAATCACAGATGTTTCATTTAGATTTTTTATATAATCTGCACTTCTATTTTTTATGTATAATTGGTCAATATATAACACTTCTCAAAAAGTAATATGACAAAATAAAATTTAAAGATAAACAGAAATATTTTGTTAAACCAACAGTAATTATTATTATTTTTAATTCAATTAAATTTGTTAATACTTTGTCTACAAGAGCTTCAATGGTTTGTTTATTATCTGTAGAATTGAGTGAAGTAAGATCCATAACATGCAATATAAGTCCCAAATAAGAAGCTTCGATTTCTGGTAAAAATCCAACTTTGGTGCATCTATCACAGTCATCAACAACTGATTCAATGTCAGATTTTTCTACATCTAGACCCGTCAACAGTGAATCATCTAAAAATAACATAAATTCTATTATTTCATTAAATTAATAAAGGCACTAGACTATTACATTTTGTATAACGTTTAATTCTTCATATAATGTATTTAGATACACATAAATTATCAATCAAAACACAATTTTTCAATCATTACCAAATTATATTTTGTCAAGAACAAACATGTTTTCAGAGTTTATAGCGAGTCAAGGTAAAAATGTCTTATAATCAATGTGTATACTCACTCAGTAAAAATTGGAAAAATAATGCTATGAAATGAGTTAGAAAAATATTAAAATGAATTCAACTAAATGGTTATAAGCTTTATTCTTATTATGATATACTTCTTGCAGTTATTTTGAAACATAATTATAAAATAAACAGCCATGGTTGGAGATTACACTGCAGCAATATTACGCTTCTGAACATATGTTCTAAGTGTAATGGTATAACCAAAACGAGATGGCATTTCTTTTTTCGTAAATGATTTTTATTAAAGACATCAGTGTTCCACTCCAGTTACCGAACCGGCTTCAATAATTGAACAATTATACTCTACCGAACAATATTCCCGGATTGGACATTGCAAACTGTTGATTTGTCGCGCTTCTATGGTATCAACGAAGTTGAGTACGAAAATAAGTGCTCTCAAACAGGTTTGGTGTCACTCCGAACTGAAGACAAGGCTGTTGCAACTCCAATAGTTCGTTGAGGATGAATCGGTCGTCACGGGGTGAGGGAGCTAAGACAAGAACGTGAAGGAAAGCAGAGGAAATGAAAGATTGTGCAATTCGGGAACCTTAGAACTTGGTCGTCTTCGCCGTTTCAATGTCCCAAGTCCAAATTCGAATTATTATCAACAACAATAGTTGTCACGTGACAGCGATAACGCTCTAGGTACGACGACAACCGAAATAGCCGTTCGGACATCGTCGAGTCATTATCTATACGCGAGCTGAACTGCTACTGATTATAATCGTGATAGTGTTTGTTCGCTCGCAGTTATTTTTTACTCAGGACTTCGGGTCTTATCCCAAGTATTAATTTACATTTCACTATCATTATAATGGTCATTTAGTTTTTTCTAGGATCATGTCGTTCCATAACGTACGTAGCTAGTAACTTACCTCGCGTTAACGACGTACCATCACAACGATTGTCTGAACACTACGTTCCTGATATAATCGTTACCGTTCGCTTACTTAAGACCGTTTATCAATCACCGAACGCCTTTCAAATCTCTTATTCGTTTTAATCGTTGTGCCATTTGCTTCTCCCCAACTTCTATGCCAGAGACCGATTTGAAAATTCGTTTAATTTTCACAAGACATAGTGTTCGTACGAATATTCATTTATCTGAAGACAGAACGAATTCACTAGCTATTTAATAGCAAGATATATAGTAGATTTATCAACAGTTCAGGTAAGTAAGAGTACCATCTGCTAACCTACCATACGTTAAGTTCATGTTTAATATTTGTATATCAATTGTAAATTTGTTTATCGTTATATTAAACATTTATCATTATGTTACAAACGCTATGACTGTACAGAGAGTAGATAAAAAGACCTTAGTCCTTTATCCTTTACAAAAATCATTCTGGATGTTGAAGTAGTTTCAATTTTGACCTATCCTCTACCAGCTTGATCTATATTTGGAATTCTTTTTTTGATTTATCAACTAAAAATTAGTTACAGGTCAAAGATAGTTTTAACCTGGTATACTATTATTAGTTCAGCTTTTTGTTCATTAGTTTACTTTACATTAAATCTATAAGCTTCGTAAGCCTCTTTAATATTACACTGATATAGTGATCTGTATAAATCTGTGTTGTCAATGTTAAATATGGTTGACTTTTATTACCCTTAATTGATCATACATTTTTAATTCTACTACCATACTCAGAGCTGTATCAAACATTTTAGTGCTCCAGGGCCACTGGGCACAGGTAGCATATTAAGTACAGATAAGGGCGCTCTCTTACTTATAAAAAACTACAAGGCCCGGGGGCAATTGCCCCCTTTGACCCCCCCCTTAACACGGCCCTGACCATACTCAGAAATTTTTTCTTTTATTCAGTTAGTATTCCACACTAAATATGTTTATGTTTAGCAATAATTTTTTAATAATCTTTTAAAAAAAATACATAAGTACTAGACTGTTAAAAAAAATTAATCTTTGTAAATATATTAATTTTTCTTTAAACCTTAAAAATAATCATGAGGTATTATCCAATAGTATTATTGAATATTACCTATTATGATATCTTTTTGTTTTATCAAAAATATAAATTATTGTGTTAAAAAATGTTATGTAGGTAGTTATGTTATGTAGCTCAAAAGTTAATTATTTTCAGCTTCTCCTATAAGTACTAAGAAAATCTAAAAACTACCAATTTTTGTCCTATTAAATTTCTGTATTAAAGTTTTGATACAGATTTATTGTCCAAAACTGTGTTAAAAGCAAAATAAAAAAGCAATATAACTATGAAATATAGAGATATATTCCCTATATCAGTGGTTTCCAAACTGTAATTTGTTTTCTTTTTACCTAATGTTTGCTTATGCTGTAAAACCTAATACATTCCTCTTTTTGACAGCTTTCATGATTATTGTATGCTAAATTATATATATTATTAATGTTATTGTTATTCTAAAAAATGAATTGTAGTATACATATATTTACACATTTATAATTTGTTAAAGTTAAATCACATATCTAACTTAATTTTAAACGAAAAAGCATAGAATAATTACTCTTTTAGTAATCAGTTATTAATTATATTATTTATATAATGATAAATTAAAATTAGTATTATTAATATTTATATTTATTGGCACAATAACATGTAGACTTACAATAATTACTAATGAAATAATAAATAATAAACTTTTGTAAGTATTTTGAAATTAAACCAAATTTACAAGTACCTTGTACAACATCAAATAAAATTATTATATAATATCTATTGAACCAATTTCACAGTAGGTTCTGCTAATCGCATCAACTGAACTATTATAATTGTTATTTAAATAAACTAATTAAAAAATTCATTTTCCAACATTGGAATAACAATATTATAGGACTATGCATAAACATAATAATCCACAAGTCATAACATCATCTACACAGATATTACGCTATAGAGAATAATAGCCTTTTAGTACTTTTTTCATGTAGATAGTACTGTCAAAATATTGTATTTACTATATCAATGTATTCAAGTGTTTCTTGCTTTTATCACAAAAAGTTAAAAATTAATTTTCATCAATGATTTTTTCTCAAACAAGAAGTGAATTCAAATTTTTACATTTCTACAAAATTTAATGTTCACCTCCAACACTTAGTATTTGCACTTTGTCATGTAATTATTGCAAATTTTATTGTCATTTAACAATGGCTGTTTATTAATTTAAAAAGAATAATAATACATTTATATTTCATTGTATTAAATGTTATAAAAATCAAACATTTTGTATGAATTTTGACAGATTTATTTTATTGGATTATATTATGAAAAGTTTTTTTTACTATAAACAATACACTTTAGATATATATGAAGACTACAGAGCTCTGCACGCAATGGCGGCACTTAGCTCTTATTATCGGGGGGGGGGGGGGGGGGGGGTTTGCAAAAATTAATTACAATTTATTGACCAATTTAAAAATCTACTCTCATTCAACTTATAACTTATGTGTATTTTATACATTTTGATTAAAGCACTGATTAAATAAACTATGTTGTATATTTAATCAATGTACATGTACGTTAATGCATTAGTTTATATTAATTTATGGTAATATTGATAATATTGATCTGACTTAACAATGTTAAAAAATGAAAATAAACCAAACTGTTTACATATTTTGTATAAGACTAATGTAGAACAAATTTTAAATTAGACAGTTAAAAAAGATTAGATAAGACTAAATCTGGTAAAATAATAATTTACACAAAGCACAGACTGTTTTATATTTTAATTAAAATAAAACAATAATTTTTTATAGATAAAACTGTAACAAGATTTGAAGTATTTTAAGTCTCTAAATAAATTATTATATTTAATATATTAATTTTAAAAGGCTAAATTATATACTATTTTTTTATGACGTTATAAAAATCAAACTAATGCTCAATAAGTTATTGAAAATAATTTTTTAAGTAGGTACTAACTACTAGATCAGTGGTTCTCTATCTTTTTTGGGCAGCGATCCAAAGTTTCTTCCAAAAATCTATCGCGACCCCATGGTTTTACATTTACAAAATCAATAAAAATAATTCCAAAAAACAAATTTTTCTATTTTATTACTTATTTACTACTTTATCATAATAATAATAATAAAGTATTTTTTATTATTAATATTTAAATATTTAAATATTTTCTATTAGTTCTATAGTCTATAGTCTATAGAATTTAAAAAAACATAAATTTCTTACAATCTGTATAATTAATAAAACTTCTCGCGACCAACAAAAAATTGACTCGTGACCCACAGTTTGAGAAACGCTGTACTAGATTGTATATTTTCTCCTATGGATTGAGAATATATAATTTAAAATAATTGCTTACCAAATCTTAAATTTTCATTCACGACATCAAGACGGATATAAAATGTTCAAAATAAAATATAAAACCATATACCTATAATTATAAAATTGTTCACAATATATATATTGAATACATTTAGAAATAATACAGATGTCAGATAAGACAATTCACAACCATTAACTCCAAATCTATTTGTGGACCTTTATTCTATAATAAATAATAGTATGTATATATGTAAAATCATATTAAATTGTTGTTAAAAATTAAGCCATTATTATTATATTGAATTGAAGCGAACGGACTGGATTAATTTTTTTTTTCTTAGAAAAGGGGTCGGACTACGTTCAATTGAAAAAAACCAGACTGTTATAGAACACTAGTAGAGACTATTTCAAGTACCTACATAAATTATAAATACTTATACGTGTCTGTCAAAAATACATGAACAACTTCATATGAATACAAAAATTATCTTTTATTTGTCATTATTATAAAATATTGAAGTACCTAATACTTGACCATTTATTTATCAAAATGTATAATGATAAATATTTGTCATCCGATGATATTATGTTATTTTTTTAAAAGTTCCACATATTCAAATATTATCAATTATGTTTCCGTTTATTTCAAAATATTCCATTTTGTTCTGTATTTATATTCGGAATATAATATTTACTTTCACCATAACCTCAAAATAAAAAAAAAATTGTTAAGTTAAATTGTTTCTGATTATTCTGGTGTACCATATCAGCTACTATATCACAGGGTATTTATTATTAAGTAATCATTTTGCATTATGAAACGTAGTATTTTATAATCAATTGTATTTCTTTCATTCCGATTTAGTTTATTTAAGCACATTTGTGTAAATATATTTTGTATAAGTATATAGCTATGTACTACTGTTTTAAATGTGTTTATACATTGTTTAGTCATTAGTCATTATTTGTAAACGAAATCTTGGAATATAATATAATATTTTTATGATGAATTTTATTTTTGCATTAAAAACTTATTATTTAAGTCTCGTTTTGACTGTACTTTTGGCAAATCATTTAATTACTACAATTTTTACTAGGTATATGCTGTACAAATATTTATAAAATGTTATCGCACTGTAATATGGTAAATAAAAATTAGCAAACTTGTAAACTATACGAAGTTGCATATTTAACATTTATTTATTTACTTCCTTTTTAAAAGATAAGACAAAAAATTCAGCAAATATATCAAATTTTCCTCTGTAAACCTTTAACCTATATAAATTATGTAACACTGAGAACTAAAGTTTAACGATTTTTTTTTAATTAATATTATACTAATATATAACTTATACTTTGCATTAACCAAACGATTTATTTTAAATAATTGTTAGTAGTGAGTTTGATTTACGCATAATAATCAGTTTTAACAATATTCATAGAAATCATTTTGTTTGCATTCAGTAATCACTAATTTTGATATTTTGTACATTTGTACAGCACAATTAAATTAGTTTTAAATTGTCAGCATACCAATCCACCGAATTGTTTTTCACTCTAATACTTTTTCGAAACTCGTTTCATGTCATATAATAAAAATTAAAAAAACACGTGGCGTTAATATGAAATATAACTAGTGATTACGTATCCAATGTTATTAAATGATGAAAATGATTTGTTTAAATTAAAAATAAAAATTAAAAAAATGATTTTTTTTTTTTGCTAATGCAACGGTAAGCTGTTTGAATATTAAAAAACGTTTAGACTCAAATAATATAAAATTAAAATATTTCGAAATCCCTTTAAAACTAATATCCAAACTCCACATTCAATGCACACTGCCTTTGAATGCCAAATTTTTGTTCAGTCAAATCATGGACTGTTAATTTTATTATATAATGAATAATAACTGCGTCTAAGGCCGGCGCCATCTCTGCAGAAATGATACGACGCAACGAGCAATCGTCTCATGCATACCTTAACTGCCGCCAAATTGTAATTTGTTTTCTACACAGTAGTCGTGTACTGTTTATTAACAGTAATAATATAATAATAATCGCGATCACCCGCAAAACGCGCCCGGAGATTAAACGTGAATTATTACTATGTATACATATGCATATTTATTAATTACTCTTATTTCATATTTATGAATACTGATAACAAAACACTTAAAAAGTTAAAAATCCGATGGCCTCATTTCGGTTTATTTTAATGTTTAAAAATATCCCCAATTGTTTTACTTTGTGGGTCGTTGAAACAAATTACGTTATCGTAAACAAATCTAACACTATCTAAACTTTTATTTTCGTGTATGATGATTAATCAATGTAGTTCTTTATTTTACTTTAATAATTTAATAACACTAAAAATACAATATCGTATAATATCTTTACAAAAATGATTGTATTTCTAATGATAAGTAAATTATTTAGAATCAGTTGATCCCCTACTCACTACTCCACTCAGAATTATCCAAGAAATTTTCAAGTCCTAAAAATTAGATTTTTCGTTGTACTCGCTCGTAGTAAATAATAGGTGTGGAATTAGTACCCTTCTATAATTCTAAACAGTCCATTCCTAAATGACGTGACCACTTACAGACTTCATAATAAAATTATATTTATTATAATACGCGAAACGGATTCGAAGAGAAAAATAATTAATCATGTTCATCAGATTTCCCATTCATAATTAATTATAAAATAAATACTATCATGATACCTATGAAATGAAAAATGTATTTGCCAACACCTCCCAAACGTGGACTATCATTATTCATTAGCAAACATTGTTTTAGTTCTTTGAATATAAACACTTATTAATTAGGCGAAAACATTTTTATTAGCAGATTACCATATAACCATAAGCGCAACTAGAGCTTACATATGGAGGGAGGAGGTTATAAGTGCCAAGATAACACAGATCCGCAGGGTTTATGCCCCTCACGCCCCAATCTACTAATTTACATAAAGGCAAAATACATGTATACAAATTCAACTCTAAGATTAAAATTTTATTTTAATAGGTTCAAATGTTTTGTCTTAAGTACAGTACATTTCTAAAGTATCTTCATTATTTAACGAATTTAAAAATCCCTCTCGATATTTGTAAAATGATTTTTACAGGTGCTTATGGAAATACTTATTACTACATGTAACATCTTATAAAAATTGAGATCAACCTATCTATATATATATATATATATATATTACTAATATAATTTATATGTAAACCAAGTTTAATAATTTTCATGTAGTTTCTTGCTACAGTAATTTCTGATTTTAAACCATGAATATATATTATTAAAACATCCCAAAAAAAAAAAAAAAGTAATACTACAATAAATTTCTATTAGAAAAATATTATTGAAAAATGTAATACTGTCAAATTCAATAATTATAATGTGCAGGGTTCAGAGTTCTAGCAAATACATATTTTTCTTGATTCATCTTATAACATTAAAAATAAGATACAAATATGTTTCTCACTTCACGGTTATCATACACAAAATTTAATTTTGCTATTTTTTGTATATTTACAGGTTTTATTGCTATTTTGCTAATTTAGAGTTTATAGTGCTATTTTTCGGTATATTTTTACATAATGTAGGTATAATCACATTTTATTGATAATAATTGTATTTACTTGGTTAGGTTTTTTAAAATATTTTAATTATTGGAAATAAATAGACCTCATCAAATATTATTTTATGTTTTCATCGACAATTTAACGTATTAATAGTTAGTGACGTCATTGTTATTCCCTTATTATATCATTGCATTAGATTATCAAACATTTTAATAATCTAGAATAATTTCTAAGGTAAATATATAAAATAATTTAATAATAAGTACATTTTTACAAATATATTCAAGTAATTTAACGTTTTTGTTAACAGTTTATAATTCAATCAGTCCAGACTGTGTCTAATAAACCCAACAATTTGTAAAATTACATTTTTTTCAAGTTAAATGCATATTTTTTGATTTTCGTACTATTTATAGCGCATATTTTCGTTTTTATGTGCATATTTAAAAGCTAAAAGTAACATTTTTAGTGCCATAATTTCCGAGCCCTGATAATGTGTGTTGAAATTATAGACATAGTAGATTAGTTTTTATTTCATTCTCAAACACAAAATTCTGGAATTCATTATTTTTAATCTGGGGGTAGGTTTATGAAAATATTTAACGGGGCCAAGCCCCCCCCCCAAGTGTCACTTATGCTGATAACCAATCAGTACCTATAGAAAATATTATTATCTAAAAATAATCAACTAGATTCAACTGTTCCCAGGAACCGATTTACGTCCCCGTATTGATGATAAACAACAATCATCGGAGCGGAATTAAAAGACTAGAAAACCTATGATTAAATTTAGAAAACCTTATTACGGTTTTATGTTTGTACAACCATCAACACCAGCAGATAACACGAAGTTGCGCGTGCTATACCTGACGACCGTCGTTTTATTATCGTAATACGCTCACTGCTCATTTCACATTTGCGTTCGGTCCGTTGCTTACTATACTTCGTTGTCGTCCGTTGTTTGTCATCACATACGATTTATATCCATCCAGCTACTCGTGTTATTTTTGATTTTCTCGCATAAATATCGAGTCCGTGATCATTTGATATTTAAACGTATTGTTGTCGTTGATTTTACAGGCCCAATGGCAGACTCCAAATGCTGTTTTGGTTGTTCGAACGTGCGAAACGGCACGTGGGTCATATCTATTTTTGACATGGTGAGTGAATTTAATGTAATTTACCGATAGTTGAATAAAATTTTAAATGTTGTGTACTTTTTATGTTCATTTGACGGTTTAATAAATAAATATTATAAGTACAAAGGAGTATCTGTCACTGTTGATACGATTGAATTATTCATCTGAAAACAGTAATATCGAAATGCAAATGGTAGTGGGGTAAAATCGGTTTACCGTTGTTCATCATTACTGGATAACTTATTAAAATAAAATTTTGATCGTTTACGCTTTTCATATTACCAGAAAAGTGGTTCGACGCATACCCGATGTTTTCCTAACGAATCAACGAACATTTTACACAATTTAAATGAATCGTGGTATTAATATTTAAGTACTTACTTAAAACACCAACAATTTAGTATTGGATGATATAGTTATATACCTATATTTTAATATGAATTTGTATCATATTTGACTATAAATATTAATTGTATCATTTATAATTATTTCAAGACGCTTGACTACTAGTGATGAGCACAAACGAATAATTTGGACCAATAGATTAATATTAATCAATGATTAAAATATATAACTAACAATCTCTAATCACTTTCTAATGCATAGATTGTACAGATGTATCATTATATTATTATTATAAAATTGTTTGGCTATTAATAATCTGATTAAAACGGTCTTCACACATATCGATCTTGCGATGTGAATATTAATGTGCTGTCAGTATAGTAAAACTACTGATGATTAATTGAAAAATTGGATATCAGTCGTCAGTAATTATTTACTTATAATATTGATCGTGTGAGGTGGATAATGACAGTTTTTCATTATTATTAATACAGCGATGAATGTCTAAGCGCTCATCTACCATGTTAAACATGCCAATAGTTTATTATAAATATAATGTTCATTCGAAAATAATTGTGGTAGTCTTTTTGGTTTGAAAGCTGAATTTATTTTAAAATATTTAAATTATAGTACTTCTAACATTTGGTAATTCATTCTTTTACCCATTGCTTCCGATTAGTAATCCGTTTAATTGGAATAAAGAATGCTAAAATAATTGCTACGCACGCTTTCGTCCATTTTAATAAAATAACTTTTTTTTTAATAAATAAAGACACGTGACACTGCTATTCATTGAAATGTGCACCTTCACCGGTCAAATACCCAACAGAGTATTGATAATAATCTATGCTAACCATATGAGGAGTACACCGTCAATGATGTAAATACAGTAAATAATTATACTGTTAGCATTAATAGTTGTGTGAGAGCCGCTTAATGGTCTATTTATCCTTAGTTAGAAATTATATTATAAATACAAGTGGGTTTGATTTTGGTCGGTGCTGGGCCAGTACTATTGGCCACTGGATTAACCTATTAATATAATTTATTGAATCACATGCTATTCATATACGAAACTCGTTGTTCATTATGAATATTTCGAAATTAATTGTTCTGTTGTTCTCTAGACATTGATAAAATATATATAAAATGATAACAATGTATATTCAATCATTGCTTTTATCTCGAAATAGTTAAAATATTTTGAATTGTTGACTACCAGGTAGGTATTATTACTAATTTAACAATCGGTTTAGTATATTTTAAATCTAATAAATAGTATACTCATAGACATAACACACTACAATTTGTATTTTAGACAAATACATTAATAACATTTAAGACAATAGTTATAAAAATAATAAATAATCTTATGTCTGATTTAAAACACTTAGAATAATGCAATATTAATAAATAGTTATTCCACAATTAAAATGTATTAAGCATACACCGATGAATGAATAAAGTAAAATTAGAGAAATTTAAATAATTTATAAATATCACACCATGCCCACACGATATTAGACATTTCAACGTATGCATAATCCAAATTTACCGTACTTAACGGTACTGCCTTGTTAAGTTTCCTTTATTACTGCTAATGGTTCTAACCCTTATTCTAGTTAATAACACCCTTGAAAATAAATTTGTGATATGTCGGACCTCTGTATGCTCAATTTTTCATCGCAAACCTCTAGAGTCTTGTCTCGTAAATTTGGTTACATTTGGTATTAACATAGATAATAATTAAGGATGTTACATTAAGCAATGTAATAATAATGTTCCAACCGATTTAACAAAATTATGTATAGTTAACTGAATCGATTAATACCCATTAATTAAATTCGACCACAAAAAACATATCTACGAAAAATGGCTAGTACAAATGTTTAGTGTTTTTAAAGAAAAATATTTTATAATAAAAATTAAAGAATACAATATTATCTAGGTTATGACATATCCATTTGTAGACAACTGAAACGGTAGTTATTTATAAATAAAAAATTACAATTTTCGACAACTTAAAGAGATCGTATTTCTGTTAAAAACGTATAAAAATCCGAAATGGATGTCATTCCCTGGATAATGTTGTTATCTTTAATATGTATATTAGGTTTTACTACACTAAGTATAATACTTTCGGAGTAAAATCTATTTTTCAAAAACATGTTTTTATACCGAATTATAGCAACGCTGACATCCTCTTAAACCGTCTTGATTATTCTTAATCTTCAACTGCTAAAAATTGTAAATTGTGATCGATCGTTTGATTTTGTGGGATATTTTTAATTTTCTCCATTATTGGTAATTTTATCTTATTTAAAACTTCTTTTTTTTTAGAATTTAGAATCCTCATTTCTTAATAATATTAAAATGTATAATTAACTTGAAACATGATTTTCTTCCGGTTGTATACCATTTTATTAAGCATTTTGGAGTTTCTCAGTAAATGGGAAATTTGTTTTACCCATAACAATTTTATAAAATTTATTTTGGTAATATAGGTAACTATTAACTATGTTAGCTATACGTAATTATTAAACTATCATAATTTATCTGGTGTGAATTACATTTATGTATGTGAATACATTTATTTATTCTTCTTTTTGCCACGTTTACCCAAATTATGGTTTTAAACAGCTTACCTATTTTTATTTTTTACATTTGACTGCATTTATAGCCTAAGTCCTTACAAAATAATTCAAGTACAAAGCCTAAATTTTTAAAACATTCGATATGTGAATAAATCGTTAATATTGTTTTCACTTCATCCATTAGTAATCTATTGGATTAATCGTTAGATAGGTCCAATTCAATACTTGTATAATTATAATAAGTATAGCAATAATGTCGCACTTTATATTCAATTCCATGCACGTGATCATCATAATAGTTATGTCATGATTCACATGCACAACACTTGTCGGGTTTATTTTTCATTCCCTATCTATGTATTATTCAATATTCGTATTCATTTTTTACTTTCACTCTTTTAGATTTATAGACTGCAGTTTCATATTATCTTGCAATTAATAATTTTACGAAATGTATATGAAAATAAACCATTAGTTTTTGTTTTTAGATTACGAATGACTGTAGGTAACAAAAATATGGTCCACTTAAAAAATTAACATTGTAGGTGTGCGAGAACAAGTTGATGTTTTTAATTATAGTGTTATCGAGTCTTATCGTATTGGCAACTTTTTGTATTACTGTCTACCTAAAATTTTCTAGTAATTATAAATGCATTAAATTATCAGTTCCCTTCTAAATAATTTACTACAACTCACTTTATATATAAATTATTCAAAATTTAAAACTTGTGTTTAAACTGTATATGTAATTACTTACATTTTATATCTCGTTGATAACATTATTTTATAGTTTTCTATTAATAATTAGAACTTGTTAAAATATTATTAAAAAGTAACCTAATACTAACCTAACCAATTAATTTTGTCATGAGTAAACTTTGAGAAAAATATTGATTTCTAACTTCGAAGTATATTACACATTTTGTTTATATTTTTTTTAAATTCTGGTTTTTCTTTTTATTTGAATTGCATACATTAAGCTTACTTATTAATAGTGTATTAAGATACAATGTTATATTATTTTTGAATTTGAATTTATGTTTAAAAAAATGTTAAAACGCCAGGGATTTAAATATTATTAGATCTAATAAACATGATTTTCAAGTGTTTTATTATGCACTACAATGCATGAACCATATAACACATTTTATCATGTTCTTGTGTAATGTGCAAATTAGTAAGTCAAAACCAATTAAAATGTACAGAAACTCTATGTAACCATTTTATAATTATCATTGTTGGAGATTGAATGTAGAATCATTTTTGGGTACTGGTTTATTATAACTTTCCCCTCAGATTTGTATGCATGTATGATATTTATTATGTATTATTATAGGTGATGAGTTAATACAAACCAATACAAATTTTAGTGGTGTACCTACGATTAATTTTGTAATTAATTTTTCATTTCAGTTGATATGTTCATTTTTGGCTGTAGCTACTCTTTCACGGTTGAGTGTTTCACCATATCCTTTCAAATCAAATTACCATTCTTCAAATTGTAAGGATTGACAATTTTTTTTTTTTTTACTCTTATTATTGTTTTAACATTACAGAATAAATGTTTATAAACTAGAAGATACATATTATAAAATGCTCCAAATACTTAGATACTATGTAGTATAAAATATTGATTGCGCTCTTTACTATGTTAAAATATTTATATTTGTATACTAGTTATAAGACCATTTTTAATTTAAAATTTTAGTATACACTGATAGTACAAGTATTTACAAATTAATTGAGTAACAAAACTTATAATAGAAAGAAATATTCTGAGATCATTTTAAACTAAAGAAACATATAAAATAATTTTATTTAAATAGCATAATGTTGAACTATGATTAAAACTTTTAGAAAGGTTAAATATATATGGGAACATAACATTAAGGCTTCAATTGTACCCATATGTCAGTGAATACATTTGTGCATTTTTAATATTAGCTTTCTGTTATCAAAATTTTACATTTCCTTGATTCCTTGACATTTTTAAACATGATATTTATAATGTTTGCTTCAGTCTTCAAAATGATATTTATTAGATAGATATTTTTTATTGTTATCTTTATCATAATATTACTATTATTATAGAAAACTACAATTTGAGAGAAATATTAAATTTGTTTCTGTTCTCAAATTGTGTATTCTTAATTAACTTACACAATCAATAATTTTATAAAAATTATATATATATTTTATGTACCAAATATTATGGAATTATATTATATAGCTTTTAATTAACAATTCCTTTTCTCTCGATAAATTAATATATATGTTAACAAATAAGAATAACAGAAAAATATTTGTAATATAAATTATTAAAATGTATTTTATTAAAACCTTTACTGCATAAAACAAATTATTTTTTTGAATATAGTTGTTTAATAAATATTAAATGATTTAGTATTAAACTATAATGTACTTTCTTTAGTTCCAAAAATAAAAAAATTAAAAAAAAATATTCAACTTATTTGCTACAATTTTACATTTTTTCTCAAGAATTGTATCTAATCTATTTTATTTGTTTTAGGTGATGTTGTCACTGTGGATTATATTTCACCCATGGATTATGATTTTCTCATATTTAATCAATTATGTGTATTATTCTATTTTTTTTATCTCAACTTGAATCTGAAAAATGCAACATATATAGTAAGTTAAAAGTATATACTTAAATGTTTTAAATACATAAACTTATAGCCAGTGGTCAAATTAGATGAGTTATATTTTATCTAGAGAAATTTAATGCGTCATAAATGTATACAGATCAAAATTAAAAACTAACTTAATTCATATTTATCTACATAAAGGTAAACACTTTTTTATCAAGAATTTTTAAATTAATTTAAACCTAACATTGTAGTTATTATTTATTATTTTATTTGCTTTTGCCTTGCAGCATTATAGCAAATTTATATATTTCAAACACAGATTATAAGTTAAGGAACAAGTAACAATGAATAACATTATTGAAATTAAATATTAATACTAATAGTGTTTTAATAATAACAATTATCATTGTTATTAATGTCATAATTGAAATTATAAATAATTAAAGTATAAATTAAATATTATTGTTAATTTATGATTATTTGTGACTCATAAGGCAAATGTTATTAATTATTATTATACTGATAACTGCAAGTGTGAGTGTGAGTGCAAGTGCACTCTGAGAATAATACATTTTTATAAATTATATTATTTGTTATATAACCTATAAACTTTGATCTAAAATTAAAAAAAAAAAAAATGTTCGCATAATTCAAGTGATTGAAATATGTCTAGATTAATAATTCATAATAATAGTAAAAGTATGTTGAATGTAGTAATAATACAATTATTATTTTAAATCTTCTAGTCCAAGTTAAAATTTTAATAATTTTTAGTGTACGATTGTATTTTTATTTTTTAGCATAATGCTCAAATTATCAACCAGTGGTTGGTAACCAATTCAATATTTTTTGTATTCTTCCTCCTTACTATTGGCTTTATTACTCTCAAGAATGGAACTTCAAATTTTATTCCTATTGCCATTCCTATCAGTAGTAAGTAACAAAAACATTATTTACATGTATTATACGAGTATATTAACTATTTGTCATTGTTTTTAGTTGTTGTTATATACCAAATTTATGTGGTAAAATGTTTTTATGATGACGAGGTCAAGTTCTTAGCCATTTCTGCTAGAAATGCAGCTCATTCTACAATACAATGTGCACCAATTGTGTCTATAACCAATCAAAGTGTTCAGGCCCCTCCCCTCTATCCTGTACAAGCTGGACCGTATGTTATGCAACAAGGGCCTCATCCTGTGATGCAAGCATCTTATCCTCAACAAACGTATCAGTATGAAACACAGCAGCCATCATCCCAATCTCAACCAGATCAACGTGCCCCCCAAGAATACTGTAACCCTCCGCCATATTCACCTGCTTATAATATGCATGAAGGTTTTTCAGCCAAACAGTAATCAAAAAATAATGACATTAAATAATACTATTTTCCAATGTATCTTATCTTAAAAATATGATCCCAGACTTATTTTATTATAGTGTGTTTACAAGATAACTATAATTTGTACATATAGTGGATGGAAAGTACAAATTGTTTATCGTATGTTTACATATTATTTTCTATTTATTTAAATTTAATGAACTATGTTAAGTATTGTGTGTGTTACTTATTGTCACTTCAATACTTATACATATTAATCTCATTCATGCTTAAAAGAACATTGTTAATTGTACAGTAATATGATATTTAGATTAGTTTTTACTATTGAAATTAAGGGCTATATTTTAAATTATATTATGCTATTCTTAAGATAATTTTCAGAAAATTATAAAAAAAAAAAATTTGGAAGAAAATAAAGTTAGTTTGATGTGTCACAGTAGTTATATTTTTAAACTTTTTTATACTTATTTGTCAAATCAATTTAAGACTGTATTTTTTTAAAATATATTAATCTTATGACAATGTAAATCAATGTGTTGTATAAGACTGTCTAAGAACTAAATTGTAATATTTTTTTTTATTTATTTTTTTTTTTTTTTTTTTGTATTATATATACAAAAAATATAAATATATTTAATCAATAAAAATTATTCATAGTCTCAAAATAATCTTAATAAATATTAGTCAACCACTGTATACACTTCTCATATACTAAGTATTTTATTTTTTTATAAGACAAAAATGTATAACTAATGATGTTTTTTCACTCAATGCATAGAAACATGACTAGTACACAATTTTATTAATATCTTAATTTCATAAAATATGTAACTTGTGACATTTCTGCAATCATCGATTTACTCACATGTTAAATGGAAAATTTACTCTACTGCATTTGTGTGTTAGACACATTGTCAATTGTTATGAGTCTGTTTAAAGAACAGATATAATTTTACCTAAATACTTGAATGCATTATCAGAAGAAAAATAGCAATTATTTGTTATTTATGCAATAATAAATGCAAGCCCATATTTAAAAATTATATGCCCCTGGGCATATAATTTATGCCCCTTCCCAAATTAATAATAATATAATTCTTATTTTGTCCATAATCTTTAATATTAAAATATAACTTTTAAATGAAAATCGTTTAATACTTTTTTTAATTAACAAATTATAATATAATAAAATGTACTATTATATTTCTTTTTTTTCATTAGTTACATCATATTTAAAATTAATTTTACTAATATATTTTGACCCCGGGCATATGCCTACCTGTGCCACACTCCCCCCTCTAAATACGGGCCTGAGTAAATGTATATTCCATGAAGTGATCATAATATCATACAATATTTATAATAATATTTAATCTGTTCTGATAGTCAGACTTACTTGTGTCATCTAAAATGTTTTTTATGGAAATCTCATCTTATATAACTTAAGTAAATTCCAATAATTTAATATACCTATGGTATTTCTGTTTTGGTTTACTTGAAATTTGTATTCACTTAATATAATTTGTCTGGGTGTTATATAATATCTATATTAAATTGACTCTTCTTGCTATGATACTTTTTTTCAATTATTAAATATACTATTACTTTATATAATATAAATTGCCGTTTTTGGATGAATGCAAAGTATTATGTTATTGAGTGTATTTCATGGAATTAGATATAACGTATTATATTTACACGCTCATAATAATAAAAAATTTAAACCATTTTTCTCTCGTAATAGTATTGTGTTCATTTGTTGGTTGTCATTGGAAATCTACCTCTTAAATTATTAATTGATTGAAATCCAGTTATGATTTAAAAACTAATGTTCTTTTTTCACATTGAGTATAGCTCTTACATTTATCTAAAGATTACAAAAATTATATTTGATTAGCTTATTTATCATGTCATTTAGAAATAATTAAAATAAAATATTTACTCGGAATGTACTAAGGCACCTACCCATGGTTATATTTACCATTAGGCAACCTAAGAAATCCCCTTTCCCCACTATGTTATAAACCTATACTTATTGTTATTAATCGTAGTCGTGCTGTAAAGTACTTAAACCTGTTAAATATTGTATTTATTTTACTATACCATAGTATTTCATTTGTTATAAATGTACTTAAATATGTACTGTTACCGATTGTTACATGTAGGGTTGCCATATATTTATAAAGCGAAACCGGGGCAACACTAACACAATATTGAGTAATAGACTTATTATAAAACCTTTTATATATTAAGAGGATCAGTGGCCTATACAACGGGGATGATGTGGAGATCATATCCCCCTAGGCCTTTTTTT